TTCTGCAGGCTAAACATACCCAGCTTTTTAAGCCGCTCCTCACTGGGCTTGTTCTCCAGACCCTTGATCATTTTAGTTGCCCTCCTTTGGACACATTCCAGCTTGTCAACATCTCTCTTCAAATGTGGTGCCCAGAATTGGACATAGTATTCTCGGTGTGGTCTACCCAAGGCAGAATAGAAGGGTAGAATGACTTCCCTGGATCTAGACACTATACTCCTATTGATGAAGGCCAAAATCCCATTGGCTTTTTTTAGCTGCAGCATCACATTGTTGGCCCATGTTTAACTTGTTGTCCACAAGAACTCCAAGATCTTTTTCACATGCACTGCTCTCGAGCCAGGAGTCCTCCATTCTGTATCTTTGCATTTCATTTTTTCTGCCAAAGTGGAGAATCTTGCATTTGTCCTCATTGAACTTCATTTTGTTAGTTTTGGCCCATCTCTCTAATCTGTTAAGATCATTTTGAACTCTGCTCCTGTCTTCTGGAGCATTGGCTATCCCTCGCACTTTGATGTCGTCTGAAAACTTGATGATCATGCCTTTTAACCCTTCATCTAAACCGTTAATAAAGATCTGCACAGCTTAATAGAAGCACTTGTTTTACTTTGGATGTAACATGCACTTTCAACATAAGACTGTGGTGAGAATTCAGTTAGGAATACATTTTTCACCAATGGTCTAACATGTTTTATCATCTGTAAAAGAATGCCCAGCAATATAAACAAATCACTCTTCCAGCTATTATCTTTCCCTGAAAGAAGTAAAGAAAATGATCAGTGTTAAGTTTCCCAACCACATTTTACCGAATTATTTATTTCAATATATTTATATGTCATTCTACACTGAATATTTTTGTTAAAATGTACATTAATTGTTAACAAGTAGCATTGATAAGAAACCCTTCAGGAGAAAATAATGAGCATCCTTATAATTTGGGGAAACAATGGATGTTGGCCATTTTCCTTTGGCTCAAAAGAGTGTTGCTTTGGAAAAAGAGAGTAGGCTTGACAATTCTTCCTTATTCCTCTGTGATAAGGAGGCATGAGGAATGCTGTTTGACACTGTGATATTTGTAAAACAAAGTTAAGGTCAAAGTTGCGGAAAAGTTTCCAAATTCCACTGTAGTTTATCATAAAGAGGCTATTGCTGCTGAAGAGCTAATTGGTTCAAGCCTCTGTCTGGCCATCCGTGGATTCAATCATACTCCCACACATAGGCACTCCTTTGCCAATATAAAAAAATAAATAAAAATCCAATGCAGTATTCAGGAGTTTTGTTCACACAAATTTTTAACAAATTATCCATTTATATGGAAAGAGTTTTCATGTCTACAAGGGACACGGCTTCAAAATATTTTAAGATTTGTAACAAAAAATATATTCAGCTATGTTTCAGAACATGACTGAATCCCCACTTGGCCGTGGAGACTCACTGGGGAACTTTGGGCAAGTCACATTTTCTGTCTCAAAAGAAGGAAAGGACAGACCTCTTTTGAACAAAACTTGCCAAGAAAACATTATTAGAGGTTGTCATACATTGGAGACGTCTTGAAGGCACAAAACAAGAATGGGAACTGTAGGATATTAGGGTTTAAATCCTTGCTCAGGCACTGGATGACCTTGGACAAGTCATGCTTTCTTAGCCTGAGAGGAAGGTAATAGCAAAACTTTTCTGAACAAATCTTGCAAATCAACCTTATAATAGGGGCGTCTTAAATCAGAATGGATATATAGGCACATACCAACAAATTTCAAGGCAGCCAATAGTAGGATTTGAAGGGGGCTAGAAATTAAAAATAACAAAATTGGAAAAAGGATAGCAATGACTCAAACACTTAAATAAGAAAAAGGTTGTTTTGAGACATTTTCATAGGACTGATAAGCCTTGTGCCAGACTTATAGCCAAATGCCATAACAACTATATACACATATAGAAAATGGGAGTAGTGGTCAGGGGAAAGATAAAAGCAGAGCTCAGGTTCATGGAACATACTGGAGCTTTCACAAAAGTGGAAGACAACACACTATGGGTCAGTTCTATGGCGGCAACTGAAAAGGAAAACAAGGAAACCTCATAATTTAAATTATAGAAATTTAAATCGGGCCACCATGCAGAAACATTATGCCCATCTATATAAATAAAAATGTAATGTTTGTTTGTGGGATTAATGTAACTCTAAAACCAATGTGCAAATTGGCACCAAATTTGGACACAATATACCTATCTGGCTGACAAGTGACCATCACTCATAAAACCACTGAAAAACACAGCGACTTAAAAAGCCAAAAAATAAAAAATACATTATAATGGATGTGCAAAACCACATATATACACACAAACACAAATATATACACACAAAAAACACATATAGACAGACTGAGCCACAGCAACGTGTGGCAGAGGATGGCTAGTACTAAAATATAATTGTCTACTGGCAACTACAACTTAATTATGGCAGCAGTCATAATTATTAGGATGCCCTTTGGGAACTTCCCAAAGAACATATTTGAAATTCTTGGGGGACTACAAGAACGTGAAATCACCATCAACAGTTTAGTAATTTATTGCCCCTGTTCCCAGTTTGCAGAAATAATTCTGGGACCAATGAGAAACCATGAGTTGTTTATAGTAATAGCTACTATTTCAGTGATGAAGGGATATAACATAGCAATGTTAGGTTTCAAATTTAATATGAAACACGATGAAGTTTCACAGCATTATTGGAAAACTGCAGAAAACACAATTTGGATAGAGTAGTATTTGGAATATACAGTGGCTAAAAATAGTTTAAAATTAGATCTGGAAAAGACTGCAACAAATGATAAAACCTTGAAAATGAAGGGAGTTAGAAAGTGCATGTTATTTTGAAAAGTTCCTGCTTGGAATACTACAAATATCAGTACATACCACTGAGAGATCTTTTGAAGAAGTATGCAATGTATCCATATGATGACAACTCTGTGGCAGTATCCAAGAAACTTCACTATTAGACTGTCTATGTGGGCTAAATGTCATACTCACCTAGTAGCTGCTGTGGTTCTTGAAGATTTGTATGGAGCACAGTTCTTTGGTCTTCAATTTGTTCAAAAAACTTTCAGCTTTCCAGAACATCTGGTGTTCTTTGATGTGTGTCTAACTCTCAGAGGCAGTGTTACATTGCTGTGGAGTTGGTGGAAGAACTTAGTGGTGGGTGAGAGGTTGGTGGGAGGTGACCTGAGTAACCTGATCATTCCTGCCAGGATTAGATTCTTTCCTGGTGTAAATTTTAAATTTAATTAGTCTGGTTGATCTTTTTATTTTGTTTAAGAAAGTACAGATACTTGCATCTCAGTATATCAGAATTCGTTTACTTCCCCCCCCCCCCCCCCATTTAACAGGAAATGCATATATTTACATGCATGGCAAAGCTGGGGTTGGGGGGGGGGGAGAAGCAGAGTGTCTACGATTATGTGGCAAAAAATTATGGGTTGTTGACAATCCCTTTACACTGAGTAGATGATGTGTGTGATATGAGACGTCAAGTTGAACCAAGAAAATGTTGTGTATACATGTAATTTTTTCCACTGTGCAGACAAATCTTCCAATGCACCAAACCTATAGTAGTGAGAGATAAGTAAAGTGATCACAGTATAACAGGATTCATCTTACCATGGGGCAGGAAGAGTCCAATTGCAGGAAGAAAGTTGTTGGCATGTGCATTGTGTTCACTAGCAGCCAAATCCGAAGATCTCTGCAAAAATTACTATTTACTATAGCTATGGAGTGTCACAGTACATTTATGACAGATATGTAACCATGAAAAACAATCAAAAACCACTGGAGAGTATAATAGCACATACTATTGCTAGTACTGTGTTTTTACTGAGTACTTATCTAAATTGAATTGGTTTTACTTTTGTTAGTGTTGTTTATGTTTTGATATTCTGTTGTTACTAATGTTGTTATATTTTACTTGTATTTTATGTGTTCATAGCACTAATATGTGCTGTTTTTGGAAGATGGTGGTGGGATATAAATAAAGTTGTTGTTCTTGTTGTTTTACTGACACAAAAACACAGTATGACACAGCAAACAAGTTCTATATGCTGGATTTTGTATCACAAAATCATAAGCCGAACACTTCCCAAGCGTTTAGGACTGTGTGATGTATTTTTGAATGATGTGCGCAGATCCAAGTTAGGTGGCCTTTTGCAGTTGACAGGTGCCACTTTGTTGTTGTGGGGGGGGGGGGGGGGGCTTAACTGCTCCAAGGATGCTGAGAGCTGTGCTGGCGGTAGTGTAACCACCAGCAGGTCCAACCAAGTCAGAGAGGTCTCAGCTGAGGAGTGGCACTAAGAGCACCTAACCCATTAGCACTATTGAGAAACAAACCAAAACAAAGTCTATACTGGCTCGGTCATTGCCTAGGACCGCGGTGGATGCTGCTGATTCTGGACATCCATTGTCAAGTGGGCTACAGAATCAAAATAGAAATGAACAATCACAGAAGCAGCAGAAATATACAATGCCAGAAAATCGCACAGTTGTTGCTATTATTATTACTCTTGCCAGACCTCAAAATAATGATCTTTTGCTTACACTCGTGTGTATATTCTGAAAATTAAGGACAATCAACACAAGGATGCATTAGTAGCTGACACCCTGATGATTCCTATTAAAGGAGGTAAACAAATATTTAACTGAACATTTTGCAACAATAAAAGTAAAACAGCATGAGAACTATCTGGAAATCTCTAGAGACTGTTAAAACACAAGTAAACATTGTCACTGTGAATTTCAAAACTATTTGCTCCTTGAATGAGGGCTTATACCTGAAACATTCTTTTCATTATAATAAATGAATGTTCTTAATGCATTTTGTATCTAAAATTAATTCTTTGACTACACTACGTCCTCAGTTTGAGGATGCTGTTAAGACAAACTCTGTTCCCTTTACTGATGTCCCCAAAATACAGAAGGAGGAAAACACATACTCAAAAAGACAGATACACAATTAATATTTGCAAATTACAGGCCTTTATTAGTTTGCTTGGAACATAATTGTATTCAAACGTACTTTTGGTAGACAACAGACAAAATTAGATGCTCCAATTCAAAGTAGATTCTCCTAGAAAAAAGTGAACCACCGGTTGCTGTTTTTTCAAAAAGTGGTGGGATCCTGACTAGATGTTTCTCAAATGAATGTAACTGAACACAAAGACCAGATGGTTATCAAAATATTAGTAGAAATTATAACATTCCAATTGTACCTTTCAAAAGGAACAAAGACATTCATGGTTTCACAATGATGCACATGCATTTCAGATAACCGCAGTGTGATTGTATATTCTCAGACTGAACTGAACTAAAATGTACCATTTATTAATATTTGTATTCATAGCCTTTTTTTAAAAAAAACCTAACAGTTTTAAAAAGTGTGTTCGGGTTGAAAGAACCTTTTAAAAAAATCTTAAAGAAATAGATGCTTGAGGACCTGGATAAGAGAAGGACTGAGACTGGTTATCAAATATTATCACTTCCATATCTATGTTAACTAGTCACAAGCAATATAAGGGTTAAAGCTGTTGGCCACTATGCATTAAAATGATCCTACAACAGCACTAAAGCTTATCTTTTGGGCCTTGTAGATCAAATTAAATCAAGGTATAACATAGTTGTCTTAAAATAGCCTGCTTTGTGGATGGCCATCAGCCAATAAGCTATGCTTTATAAAACATTCTTTTCTAAGGATGACTCAAAGGGAAAACTCCTTGGTTTTACATCCAGGAATTTAAAAAACCGAGAGGAAGGGAAAGAGAGAGAAAGAGCTGAATGTTTACTTGTTCTATGAAGAATAGCACAGTTTCGAAAGTGAAATGTTCATGAACTAAAAATAAAAAAGCTGGATGTTTCATATTTTAAGACAGAAATGAATAACTTAAGGAATATTTAATTCAAACCATGGTTGCTTTCATTTACAACTACTAACCTAATGTACATATATTCGCTGTTATTTTCAATATGACAAGAACTCACTTTTTCTCTTTAACAGAGATTTATGGACAAATACAATGCTTCCTAAAAGGTTGTCATGGACTGAAGGCTTTATAACATTCTTTTCTCATTCTTCTTAAAAAATTAATATCATTTAAATGCATGCCTTTCCTGAGCAACTTAGAATTTGGAATGTGCTGAAAAGTCACAATAAATAAGTCAAAAGATTAACAAACTCAAAATGTGCTTCTAAATTCTTCAAAGTAAATTATAACATCTAGCTCATGACAGATAAATGAACTGTTGTATTAGGAATCTCAGACTTGTATGTGCCAAATAAATTTATGAAGTACCTTTCTGGAAGTAGAGCCCAAGATGCTTATACGAATATTATACAGCATTAAAACCTAGCAAGTAAATCACCCGATAGCTATTGTTTTTAAGATTGTAGAGTATTCATGCCAAATAATAATATTAAATAGAATGATGATAAAATAGATTTAAGCAGCAGTGAAACTGGAGAGGAAGTGAACATGTTAAGTGAGCCAGGACTCCTGCAAAAACACATAAAAGTTGAACTTTTAAAAATAACGAAATCCAAAGTATGAATATTTTTTTGATTCCCAAAATAAAACAATTCCACAGTGTGTAAACTAATCATTACTCTTTACATGTAATTTCACAGAAACCATTTAAAATATACAATGCAGCATCTTGGTTAAATACTGCTGACTGTATTTCCTGCTCCCAGAGTGTTCCTCCAAAGTAGTGCATTGGAACCACAATGTTAGGATGCAAGTGACAAGAGAATCCACCCACTGCTATGGCTGAGACATAAGCAAGTAGCATAGCAAAATAGCCACCTCCAGAAACTGATAAATGATGAGATATAATATAAATGATGCCCACAGGCTTTGAAAAATGTATTTCCCAAGGATGTGTTGATAAATCCTCAAGAAGTAAATAAAAACAACTGATTTCTAGCCTTTCCCCCATGAGTAGCAATATAATACCACCATCACACAATATATGTTGATTGTATTATTGTATAATTTGAGTATGACAAAGGTATTAATGGCTGCTCGCTCGCTCCCTAGAGTACCTTGGTTAGATGCAAGATTATGGCACCTATAGTAACTCTTTTAAAAAGTTGTGTAATCACTGAATCACAGAATATGTCCCTCATTTTGTTAAGCAATATTTAGTTTTCACTAGTCCAAAATATTTGAAACATTTTTTTTTCATGTCAAGAGTGACTTGAGAAACTGCAAGTCGCTTCTGGTGTGAGAGAACTGGCCATCTGCAAGGACATTGCCCAGGGGATGCCGTATGTTTTACCATCCTGTGGGAGGCTTCTTTCATGTCCCCACATGAGAAGCTGGAACTGACAGTCGGGAGCTCACCCTGCTCTCCAGATTCGAACCACTGACCTTTTGGTCAGCAGTCCTATCAGCACAAGGGTTTAACCCATTACACCACCAGGAGCTCCAAACCACACATGATATGCTTTTATCTTCATCCCTCAACTGATCATATAAGCAGCTCATACATTCAATGAAAGAACAACTTTTACCTTTTAAGATATCTGAATGGTCTTGCTTCTCTTTTTAAAGTTGTCTGCCTCGAAGTAATATTCCAAAAAGTAGTTTTCCTTTTTTGAAATAAAATGTTAACATTCTCTTCCTTTCTCAGAATCTAACACGAATATCTCCAGCGAGATTCTGTAAACATTTAATCTTTCTCACATGTAGTAATTTCAAATGTCTTCGCACGTTGACATGACCAGATAAGTCAAATACTATTATCTTAATTTCTCTTCTTTCCTTCTTATACTGGTGATCATGCTCATATTACTCAGAGCGTCTATGTGAAAAATGTAGCATGATTTTGCCATAATCCAAGCTGTAGTGGCAATTTTCTTTTATTATTTTATCACAACCACATTCCCTATTCAGGTGTTGGCAACACATCTCCCAATACCCTGCTGTGAATTTTTGGGTGCTATGATGATATTCAATATAAACATTAAAGCAGGCAAACACATTCTGTGAAAACTGCAAAGGACTTATGCTGTGATCTATATTATTCTGCAGGTATGTAAGACATATAGCAATATTTTACAGTGAAAACGTTAATTGAAGTGAAATAAAAGATGGCACATTCAAATGTATGTCTTAACTACTATGATGTTATGGAGCCAAGGAAAATAAAACTAAATTTAAACAAATTAACCATTTGGGAAAGCAGTCTCACTCTTATCAGTTCAATCTGGGAGAAATTCCTTTTGAAATGCTGCTGTGCATTAACTCACTTCCTGAACAATTTTCCTTAAGAATTTTCTTTTTAAAAAAAATCCTGGCAGCTAGAACAGAAAGTGATGTTTGCATCACCTCTTATAGATGTCTTCCAACCACTTTTCATCATCTTGCTCCTCATCTTCTGTTACTGGCTCTTCCGTTTCCAGAGGAGAAGGAATGACAAATTCTGGTCTAGGAGAAGAGTTACTGTTCGACGATCTGAGTCCAAATTTGCGCTTTAGCAAGTGAAACTGCTCTTTGACATAGTAGTAAAACTCATATTCATATCTCATGCGCTGGTACAGGATCTGTATGGATTCTGGAGATGGGACGGTCTTTTTCACTGTCACAGTTAAATTGCCGAGTTTCCTATGTTCTGTAAGAGATTTCCATAGAGAGGAATATGGTCAACATCCACAAAACAAAGATAATTTTCAAATGCCATTATATATGTGAATGGTACATGAATTGTTTTAAGGAACAACAAACATAATTAAGTAATTTTTATTATAATCCTTAGAATTTCCATAGTAGAGATGTACATAGGGAGAAGATCACATCTTCTCCCTATTTTATTTTATTTATTTGATACACTTGTATACCGCTAATATCTCAGCCTAGAACGGCGACTCATTGCGGTTTACAGCAGTTAAAACAATCTACAATTTAAAAACATATACACATATAATAACAAATTCAATAACAAATTATTGGGCCACCAATAATAATCCCATATATCTCGAGTTGAAATCGCAATCCAGAATTCGTTGTCCATGTTTCCTGTCCTTAGTCATCTATATTCGAATTGCCACAGATTAGCCGAATGCTTGTTTGAACAGCCATGTTTTGAGTCTCTTCCTAAACACCATCAGCGAAGAGGCTGATCGTACCTCTATAGGGAGGGTGTTCCAAAGCCGGGGGGCCACCACAGAGAAGGCCCTATCTCTCGTTCCCGCCAGCCGCACTTCTGAAGCTGGAGGGATAGAGAGAAGGGACTCTCCGGAAGATCTTAGGGTCCTGGTGGGCTGATAGGCTGAGATACGTTCGGATAGATAAGTTGGGCCAGAACCGTTTAGGGCTTTAAAGGCCAATGCCAGCACTTTGAATTGAGCCCGGTAGCATATCGGCAGCCAGTGGAGCTGGTTCAGCAAGGGAGTTGTATGCTCCCTGCGCCCCGCTCCTGTTAGAATCATGGCTGCCGCCCGTTGGACTAACTGGAGCTTCCGGACTGTCTTCAAAGGCAACCCCACGTAGAGAGCGTTGCAGTAATCAAGGCGGGATGTAACCAGAGCGTGGACTACCGTGGCTAAGTCAGACTTCCCAAGGTACGGTCGCAGTTGGCGCACAAGTTTTAACTGTGCGAAGGCTCCCCTGGTCACCGCCGAAACCTGGGGTTCCAGGCTCAGCGATGAGTCCAGGATCACACCCAAACTGCGAACCTGCGTCTTCAGGGGGAGTGCGACCCCATCTAACACAGGCTGTAACCCTATACCCTGTTCGGCCTTGCGACTAACCAGGAGTACCTCTGTCTTGTCTGGATTCAATTTCAATTTGTTCGCCCCCATCCAGACCGTCACAGCGGCCAAGCACCGGTTCAGGACCTCGACAGCCTCCTTAGTAGCAGGTGAAAAGGAGTGACAGAGTTGGACATCATCTGCGTACAGATGACATCGCACTCCGAAACTCCGGATGATCTCGCCCAGCGGCTTCATGTAGATGTTAAACAACATGGGAGACAGTATTGAACCCTGAGGAACCCCACAAGACAAAGGTTGTGGGGTTGAACAGGAGTCTCCCAGTAACACCATCTGAGACCGACCCTCGAGGAATGAGCGGAGCCACTGCAAAACAGTACCTCCAAGACCCATCCCCGCGAGGCGTCCCAGAAGGATACCGTGGTCGACGGTATCGAAGGCCGCTGAGAGGTCGAGCAGCACCAACAGGGACACACTCCCCCTGTCGAGCTCCCGACGCAGATCATCCACTAAGGCGACCAAGGCTGTCTCGGTACCATGCCCCGGCCTAAAGCCAGACTGTGCCGGGTCTAGATAATCCGTGTCTACCAAGAATGCCTGGAGTTGTGAGGCCACCACACGTTCCATGACTTTGCCCAAGAAGGGGAGATTGGAAACAGGCCGATAGTTGACGAATTGAGTGGGGTCCAATGATGGTTTCTTCAACAGCGGTTTTATTACAGCTTGCTTTAAGCTGGCTGGAATTTTGCCTTCCCGAAGGGAGGCATTAACCACCACCTTCACCCACTCGGCCAATCCCCCTCTGGCCTCCTTCAGAAGCCAGGATGGGCAGGGGTCTAGGATGCATGTGGTAGCTCTCATTCCTCCAAGCACCTTGTCCACATCCTCGGATTGAACCAATTGAAATGAATCCATCAAAACCGGACAAGCAGGTGCGCGGGTTACATCCTCAGATACTGCCGTTAATATGGTATCCAGTCCAGAGCGGATCAAAGCGACTTTGTCTGCGAAGAACCGAGCAAAAGCTTCGCAGCGAGCCGCCGAGTCATCAGGGCACCCATCCTGAGTGGTGGGTTTTAATAGGCCTCTGACAACTCGGAACAGTTCAGCCGGACGGTTCTTTGCAGACGCAATAGTGGCCGCAAAGAAAGTTTTCTTTGCGGCTTTTATTGCCGCGGCATATGCCCTTAAAAAGGACACAAACCGTGTTCGATTTGGCTCGCTCGGATCCGAACGCCACACGCTCTCTAGTTCCCTCTTCTTTCGCTTCAACGCTGCCAGCTCCTCGGTGAACCAAGGAGCTGGTTTAGCTCGGCTACTTGAGAGGGGACGTTCTGGAGCGATCGTGTCTATTGCCCTAGTCATCTCCCCATTCCAGAGAGCGACAAGGGCATCAACAGGATCACCAACCGAGGTGGCGGGAAATTCCCCAAGAGCCATCAGGAATCCATCCGGATCCATAAGCCTCCTGGGGCGGACCAATTTAATGGGTCCTCCACCTCTGCGGAGGTTAGGGGGTGCAGCAAGTCTAAAACTGACCAGGTGGTGGTCGGTCCATGGCAACGGAGAGATGGATAACTCCTCAACACCGCCACCTTCCTCCCATCCCTGACAGAAAACCAAGTCCAATGTATGTCCAGCACTGTGGGTGGGGCCAGATACCTGTTGGGACAGCCCCATGGTTGCCATGGTAGACATGAAGTCCTGAGCCGCTCCCGATGAGGCGGACTCGGCGTGGATATTGAAGTCCCCCAGCACAAGCAGCCGTTGGGACTCCAACACCAGGTCCGAGACCACCCCCGCTAGCTCAGTCAGGGAGTCTGTAGTGCAGCGAGGTGGACGGTACACTAACAGAATCCCTAATCTGTCCCGGTCTCCCACCCTCAGGTGGACGCATTCAAATTTTGTTGACTGCGGGATGGGGGCCCTGGTCAGAAGAATGGTATCTCTATAGACCACTGCAACTCCGCCTCCCCGCCCTCCGGATCTCGGTTGGTGCTGCACAGAGAAACCTGGTGGGCAAAGCTGGGTTAAATTTACACCTCCTGCTTCGTCCAACCAGGTCTCTGTGATGCACGCCAGATCTGCCCGTTCAGGATTAAATCCTGGATGAAAGTTGTTTTACCGTTGACAGATCTGGCGTTCAACAGCACCACTTTCAATCCGGAGGGACCGCCATCGGTTACACCAACTTACCACATCAGGAGACCGATTTGGAATTACTAATGTTGATCCACGTTCCCTAGGCCGAATTAAAGGTCTCCCTTTCCCGTATCTCCCCCTCCCCACCATGACTTCTATGGGGGCTCCCCGGCTAACGGAACCCCCTCCCTCCTCCATGACGCAGTCCACAACCATCAACAAACAATGCATTATTAGCTGTTTGACATATTGTGGTTACAGAGTGCCATAAACCTGTCTTCCATCCGTTTCCTACTCCCCTATGAACCAGCCCATACTTTAAGATCATCTGGGGAGGCTCTGCTCTCACTTCCACCGCTGACTCAAGCGCAGTTGGTGGGGACGAGGGAGAGGACCTTATTAGTGGTGGCCCCTCAGCTCTGAAACTCTCTACCTAAGAAGATCAGATTGGCACCTACTCTATCCAAAACCTGGATGTTCCATTGTGCATTCGATTAAGCAGCTTCACCAGAGAATTGGAGCCCCCGGTGACACAGTGGGTTAAACCCCTGTGCCGGCAGGACTGAAGACCGACAGGTTGCAGGTTTGAATCCGGGGAGAGCCGAATGAGCTCCCTCTATCAGCTCCAGCTCCTCATGTGGGGACATGAGAGAAGCCTCCCACAAGGATGATAAAAACATAAAATCATCCAGGCGTCCCCTGGGCAACGTCCTTGCAGACGGCCAATTCTCTCACACCAGAAGCGACTTGCAGTTTCTCAAGTTGCTCCTGACACAACAAAGAAACAAAAAACAAATAAAAAAACAACAACAGAGAATTGGTTTGATCTTGCCATAGCTCCTTGCACTTTAGTTGACCTTTCCACCTGTTATCGTGCCACTTTAAATGGCTAAGGACATTACCTCCCAGGTGGACCTTATTGAATTTGAATCGAATCTTTGTACTTTCCCTTGGTTCTATTTAGGAATCATTGCACATACTCTGAGCCTTCTGCACTCAGCACTTAATCTTTCAGCTATGATACTGTTTTTACAATGTGTATTGTGATTTTGAAATGTTTGTTGTCTATTTTCGTTTATTGTGTGTTTTAATCTGTATTTTTGGGCTTGTCCCTTTGTAAACTGCCATGAGTCCCTTTCGAGAAGATTGTGGTGGGGTATAAAAATACTCTTCTCTCGCTCCCACCTCTGTCACAAGCGCTGCTGGTAGGTACAAGGGAGAGGGCCTCCCAGATCTGGAATTCTCTCCCCAGGGAGATAAGGCTAGAATCCACCCTGCCCATCTTTCTCAAAGATCTAAAAATGTGGACGTTCTTTTGATTTCCCCAGAATTTTTTTGCTCCCAGTTATGACCCAAATTTCAGTCCCTGCACTTTACTACTGCCCCCTGCCCAGAGACATAGTGTCCCACCTCATATTACCTTTTATCCCCAATTTTTGTCATCTGGCACTTGCATTTTATTCACCAGCCCTGACCTCACAAGTGATTTTATCTCCCCCCCCCCCCCGAGTCCAGAACTGTTTTGCTATTTCAGGCTACTGCTTGCCTGTTGATTGTTGTTTTTATATTGCGTTATGCTGTTGTTATTTTATTTTGCTTATGAATTGCTGTTTCATGAATTTTCATGTGTTGTAACTTGTAAGCCACTCTGAATCCCCTTCGGGATGAGATGGGTGGCAAATAAATGCCATAAATAAATAAATACATAAATATTTTAACTATGTTGATCAGGCTTGAGTCTTTTCAGAGAGATGGAGGC